TGGCATACGTGTGAAGGGGGAGCCCGATGAGGTGCTTGGCTGCCCGACGTGCATTCAAGCCAAGTTCACCCGGTTTCCGTTCCCTAGTTCGGAGGCAACGGCAAAGGCACCGCTTGATGAGGTGGTGATGGACGTGGTGGGCCCCCTGAAGCTTGGAGCTGCTGGAGCTGAGTATTTTCTCACCATTGTCGACGTCTACATCCGCATGACTTGGGTGTACGTGCTGGCCAAGAAGAGCGACGTGGCTGAAACGTTGAAGACGGATTGGTTCCCGATGGTGGAGCGGCAACAAGACCGTCTAGTCAAGTCAATCCGCACCGATCGAGGGGGAGAGTTCCTGAGCAAGGAGTTTGGGTTGTGGCTGAAGAAGAATGGTATTCGGCACTCCCTCACCATGCCATACTCCCCTGCAATGAACGGCATCGCGGAGCGAGCGAACCGCACAATCACGGAGGCGGCACGCGGGTTGCTCATTGAAGCCGGGCTACCCGACTATTTCTGGCCTGATGCGGTGCGGAGCGCGTGTGTGGCCAAGAACAGAGCCTTGACTCATGTGGGAGCAGACAAATGGGTGCCCTATGTGGAGTGGCTAGGAAGGAAGCCAAAGGTGGATATGCTTCGGGTGTTCGGGTGCATGTGTATGGCGCTCGTGCCTAAGCATCTTCGGCACAACAAGCTTGGTGCCAAGGCGGTGTGGGCCGTGCACTTGGGCATGGCTCAAAACAGCAAGGGATGGCTTCTTTGGGACCCATTCACCAAGAAGTTCTTGGTGAGCAGGGACTGCAAGTTCATGGAGAACTTCATGTACAAGGATTGGAAGGCGGAGAATGAGGCGAAGATAGGCGTGCGGTTTGGGGAGGTGAAGAGTTCCGGTTTGGAGCATGTGGAGCTGCCTTTGGAACTGAGCAGCGGCAGCACAACCACAAGGCAATCCTCCCTTGTGAATGGGGGAGAGGAGGCCAATGATGCAGAGGAAGAAGAGGAGGAGGTGCAGCAAGTGAGCGAGCGTGCACCGTCACTTCCTTCCCGTACTACGAGTGCTCCACGGATTCGAGCCACACCGCAGCAACGCCAAGGCCTTCAAGTCCTTGCAGCTGAGGAGGAAGGAAGGGGGAAGAGGAGAGTTCAACCCCCTAATAGGCTGACCTATGATGCGCCGGGAAAGCAGGGCAAGACAGCCCTGGCCGGAGCGGCAATGATGGTCGGAGACGACGAGGAGAGTGACTACGAGGAGTGTGCCTTCGCGTTCTTCTCTCCGGTGGAGATGCCGGGAGAACCAGCAACTCTCAAGGAGGCTTTGGAGAGTAGTGATGCTGAGGAGTGGAAGAAGGCCATGGAGAGTGAGCTGAAGAGCATCGAGGAGAATGACACGTTTGAATTGGTGGAGCTACCGGAGGGGCGTACGGCGATAACGTCCAAGTGGCTCTTCAAAATCAAGTCGGATGCCGACGGCAAGATCGAGCGCTACAAGTCTAGGCTTGTAGCCAAGGGGTACCAGCAGAAGGAGAAGGTGGACTTCAAGGAGCTGTTTGCCCCTGTGGTGAAGCCGACGACGCTGCGAACCCTATTCACGGGAGCCGCCATCAAAGGATGGGTAGTAAAGCAAATGGACATCGTAACGGCATTCCTTAACGGCATCCTTGAGGAGGAGATTTTTATGGCGCAGCCAGAGGGGTTTGATGATGGTAGTGGCAGAGTGTGGAAGCTGAAGAAGGCCCTCTATGGGCTGAAGCAGGCCCCTAGGCAATGGTACATGAAGCTGCGCGAAGTGTTGGAGGGGATAGGCTTCAGTCCCTCAACGGCCGATCACTCCTTGTTCATGCTTGGCGAGTGGGAGCAGAGGAGCTTCATGGTGGTGTACGTGGACGACATCCTGATCTTCTCACCCTCTTCTGACCTTGTGAAGGAGGTGATGCTGAAGCTGCAAGACAAGTTCAAGTGCAAGTCCCTTGGTGACGTCAACTTCTACCTTGGGCTCCACATCGAACGAGACGTGAAGAAGCGGAGCATGCGAGTGCACCAACGGAAGTACCTTGAGGCGTTGGCCGCCAACTTCGGCCAGAGTGAAGGTCATGTGGCTACTCCCTTTCCCTCTGGGTTCAAGTGTGTGAAGGGGCCAGAGGAGGAGAGCGTTGGAGAAGAGGAGAGGCGCCGTTTTCACTCGTTGGTGGGCAGCCTCATGTATGCGGCGGTAAACACCCGGCCGGACGTCGCGTTTGCTACCGGGCAGCTGGCTAGGGTTGTGCAATGCCCTAATGAGGAGCAGGTAGCAGCTGGAATGAGGGTGGCCAAGTATCTTGGCCAAACACCGACCGTTGGGCTGCAATACTCGGCGGCGGCACAAAGGCGCCAAAAGGGCGCGGATGGTGTTGAACCCGGGCGTTTGTTCCTCACCGCCTACTCGGATGCTTCATATGCATCGGAACCAGAGGACATGACAAGTGTTGGAGGGTTCATTTGCTGTGTTGGTGGAGGCCCAACTGCTTGGGAGAGCAAGAAGCAGGTTGATCAAGCATTGAGCTCGGTGGAGTCCGAGTACATGGCACTCTTCCGTGCCGTACGGGAGATTGTGTGGCAGCGGCGTTTGTTGGCTGAATTGGGGGAGGAGCAGCAAGGACCTACCCCACTGTACTGTGACAGCCAGGGTGCCATTGCTCTTGCTAAGAACCCTGTGTTGCATGGACTCACGAAGCACATGAGGGTGAAGTGGCATTGGACGAGGAGCATGGTAACCGCGGGTGAAGTTGAGTTGCGCTACGTGAAGACCACGGGGCAGCCGGCTGACATGATGACCAAGAGGCTGGTGGAGCAGCAGCATTGGAAGTGTTGCAAGCTGGCTGGGATGGCTCTGAACTAAGAGAGCAAGATCCTAAGGCCAACAATCCGAGGGGGAGTTTGTTGGTGCAACCCTACGGTTTGCACTCGGCTTGTTGTCCGTGTGCGTGAATGTGTGTGTGTATGGAATGGTATGAGGGCATGGGATAATATATATATTTCATGCTTATAATTGTGTGTGAATGTTGAGTCATGATGTCGAGTGTGTGTGTCAAGTCAATAGCGAGTTATCGCTAGACGCGTGTTACGCGGTCGTTTGTGTCTCGCGCGCGGTTTCTATTTTGTCGTGCGCGGTTTCTATTTTGTCCTGTGTCGAACGTTCGGCGTGTCGCAGGTGTGTGCAGCAGACCCATCAAGAACTCAAGGATGAGTTTGTGATGAAGAGCCCTAGCCTTGGTGTCAAGCCTCAAGTGATTTCGAAGCTCGCCAAAAGGGTACACCTCAAGATATTGAAGATAGTTACATTACTTTGTGTAGTGTAACATTTCACTTGGTGTAGGCCCTAGTGAAGGGTAGTTTCGAGACCCTTCGTGGTTGGGGACAGTGTGGCACTGTTCCACATCACTGTACCTCGGCTCTTGGGGTTTGTAGGAGCTGGGAGTCATTCCCAACTCGTAACTCTTCCTATCTTGTGTTCTAAGACTATAGTGGCTGCCATAGTACCGTTCGTTCAAACCGACGCTGTGTCGTCAATTCTTTATCAAATCGTGCAATCTAAATTGATAATTGTAGACGACGTGAAGACGCTCCAGATCCAATTTGAATCAAGTCATTTGCAGCTGTGAGCAGAACGCTATCAACGTTTGAAGCCGCTGTGCAGAAATCCGTCTGTGCTCTCTATCTTTCGTTTTAGGCACATTCAAGCCTATTGTGACTATAACACGCTACTGGCTGGGGCGCGCGCTACTGGCTGGGGCGCGCGCTGCTGGCTGCGGCGCGCGATCCTGGCTGGGGCACGCAATTCTGGCTGGGGCGCGAGCTCTGGTTAGGGGCGCGCGCTCTGGCTGGGGCGCGCGCGTTCTAGCTGGGGCGAGAGGGCGGAAACTAGGGCGCGAGGCGCCACGGAGGAGCGGACGGAGCGAACTAGGCTAGGCGAGTAGACGGTAGGCTAAGGATTGAACCTACTGATACCATCTCAGAAAGTGAACACAACGGAATGATTGATTAGGAAAGGTGGTGGGTACAAATGCAAACCCTAACAACCTATACTCTCTAATGCATGCATCACTACAGCCTAGAACCTACAAATATATATGTTTGAGAGTATGGTACGCAGGGTCTTCGTTATCAGACGAAATCAATCTGATGGTCTGATTTTCAGACCTGTGTTTTGGGTTTCATCTGATTGCCATGACAAGCAAAATATTTTCGTCGGTTTTTTCAAACATCATATTTTATCTCATCTGAATTTTCAGATACGGTGCTCTACTTCGTCTGAGATATCAGCTAGCGCGAACAATCGTGTTTGACTGAGATGCGAACACATGACTGGAAATCATCGCCTGCCCAGAATTAGCATGGTGTTTTGCATACCGAATGGTAGTCGGTACCGAGATGGTGTTTTCGTCTGAAAATTCAGACACCTAGAAATGTTTCGTAAAACGCTCAGACGGGCCAAAAAACGGTCATAGACCCTGGTGGTGCGGTATAGGACCTGCAATGCTGGTCCACTCCGCTAAGGTTTAATCACAACAGGGGTATTAATTTGAAGTTAAACCTGCTTGACCGCAATGATTTATGGCCCAAAATAGGAATACAAATTGCCTTCTCTTACCTGTGTTATGGGTGGTGAGAACTTCCCTCTACGCTATTCAGTGTTTCCATCGCAGTTTACAACGAACCTTCTTGTGTCGAGATAATGCCGTGACTGGCGCCGATATAATTGCCCAATTATTTTTTGGCCGCAGTTGGACTTTCGCAGTGGGCAGCGAAATTCCATCGTTGTAACAATTGACTCCACAAACCCCCGCTGGACGGATTTCTTGGTTGGTTTTCCCGCACTTCGCGGCGCCATTTCACGATAAAGGCATTCGTCACCCTGCTTGTTTCACCAGAAATTCAACTCCATCCATCCATCCATCCGCGACTAGTCAAGACCCCGACGTACTGTACCTGCATACAACAAACTACTGCTCCTCATTCGAAGCACGCTTGTTCCTGGCAACATGGGGAATCGCGCCTACCTCCTGCTACCCGTTTTCGTCGCGTGCCTCATTTTTCTTGCTGAGGCAGCACCCGTAGTCACGGAGAAAGCATTACTATCCGAGGTATGTTATTTCTTCGTTGCGGTACTACCAATTCACCACTCAGCAGCTTCCGTCGTTTTGCAACCTTGCTGTAAAACGGAGCCGCAGTGCGGCTGTTAATTTCTACTCATCTTACATTTCTCGCTTACGCACGCTACGCCATCGTTTGTATTTGCGGTGACTATGGCTCGCAGGCATTTGAGCGACCCGAGAGGATCCTAACGCGCCACAAGTCCCCGCAGAGGGACCCGCCGGCGGCGGGCGCCAACGACGTGTCCGGCGGCGCGGACTCTGGCGCGGGGGGAAGCAGTGCGGACGCCGCCTCGGCGGATTCCGCCGAGTCTGCGCCGAACATGCGCGCCACGAGCAGCAAGTCCGCGGATTCCTTGCGGAAGAGCAGGGATCACTCGGGCGGCCGCAATGATAACTCGGGCGGCCGCAATGATCACTCGGGCGGCCACAACGACCACTCGGGAGGCCGCAATGATCACTCGGGCGGCCGCAATGGTGATCACTCGGACGGCCGCAATGATCACTCGGGCGGCCGCAATGATCACTCGGGCGGCCGCAACGACCACTCGGGCGGCCGCAATGAGCACTCGGGCGGCCGCAATGATCACTCGGGCCGCCGCAACCGCGGCGGTTCGTCATCGGGGTGTCCGTCATCCACGTCCGGGTGCGCCATCACGTTCAACGGGCACCAAGGCGGCGGCATCCCATGGTTCCCGCTGCCCCAGCAGCCGAGCGACAGTTTCAAGGACCTGATCGTCGGTGGTCCCTTGGAACTAGTCAGCAGTGTGAAGGTTGAATGGCTCAACTCGAACGGCGCGCAGTACCCATGCTCGAACTCAGGCACGGCCAACCTCGAGAACCAGTTCTACGCCACCGGCAACGTAAGCGCCAAACCCCAGTCCCAACCGTTGCCTCAACTCCTCTCGCCTCCATGCCTTGACGCAACGAGTTGTTTCCGCTCTCCACCCTCTCAGCCCAACACCGCCCTTCACTCTGCCTTTGCCCTTGTGGTGCTTCTCCTGGTGGCCCGCGGCAGCTTCAAGCTGATTTCAATTGATTTGCTTCCTCCCTCACCCGCTCCTCCCCCCCTTCCCCTCCCCCAGGTGATCAAGATGCGCGTGGTGCAGCCGGGCGACAGGGGGAAGCTGCGGAACCTGGTGGTGAAGGTGCCGATAACAGACGGAGTCCTGAAAGTAAGGGGGAAAACCGTTAACCTCAACCAGAATCAGGGCCTTGACATCGTTTCTACGGAGCGGCGCTGCGTTCTCTTCAAGATCGCGTGAAGCAGTGTGGGGTAAAGGCACGGCCTTTCCCCTTGGAGTCGAGGGGAGGGACAAGAATAAGAGGGGAATAAGTGATACGGAACTCCCAGTGCGGTGCTGGTGCTGGTGCTGGTGCTGGAATACGGCCTATGCTCACACTTCATTGGATTTATATTTTCCTAGCTGAAGTGACGGTTTTGTTTGGTTCGTTTTGGTTTGGTTTGGTTTGGTTTCGCTGAGTGCTTTGTTTCACCTCTGGGTTTGGTTTGGTTTGCTTGCTTTTGCTTTTGCTGAGTTTGGTGTAGACAGAAAGGGTTTGGTTTGGGTGCTTGAATGGAACATTGTGTAGTCTTATTCCCCGTCTTGATTGTATCTATTCGGCAATAAAGCATATACAATATTTCCTTGTGTGGAGGCCTGAGGGTGCCTCCTTGTAAATGGATGGGGATATTAGAATGCACAACAGCTTCTTGATTTGATAGCTCCAATCTGTTTATTGGAATTGAACTCCTCTAGTGATCCAAGTAACTATGATGAAGTACAATGAAGTACGGTTCCTCTGCTTCCTCTCCCCCACCCTCTTCCTCCTCGCCCTCCTCAGCTTCCCCCTCCTCTTACTCATCCCCTTCCACCTCACTTCCCTCTCCACTCTTCTCCTCCTCTCTCCCCTGCAGCGCCCATTTAACCCGCTCAAGACAAACTTCATCAGAGCAGCCTCCGGCTGAGCTCTTCACCAAACTAACTCAAGCTTGCGCTCTTCCCCTCCACCGTTCTCCTCCCCAGTGCCCCCGCCCCCTCTCCCTCCAATTCCTCCCCCTCTTCCTCTTCCTCTTCCCCTTCCCCTTCCATCTCAGCCTCCTCTCCACTCACTCTTCTCTCTTCCTCCGCACTCTCCTCTCCTCTCCCATCCAGCGCCCACTTCACTCTTTCTAAGAACAGCTCATCGGAGCAGCACAGCATGTGCCGGAGGCTGAAGGACAGCCCCTGCTGCTGCAATAGGAGGTGACGGGGGGCAATGCACGTGTCTAAGGCATAGCTGAAGAAGCTGCTTGGAAAGAGGGGATCATGGGTGTGGGTGGGAAAAGGGGGAGGGGAAGGTGCAAAAGAGCTGAAGCTTAATGACAGCAGGCGGGTGGCTGACAGCAGGCGGTGACGGGGGCAATGCGCAGGTGGGTGGGTGGGGCAGAGTGGGAGTGGTGGGAATAGGATGAATACCACTGATGCGGGCATGGGAGGAGGGCATGGGAGGAGGGCATCAGGATCAGAGTGTCTGAGACTCAAGGACAGCCCTTGCTGCTGCAGCAGGCGGTGTGGGAGGAGAATGGGTGCAAAAGATCAGAAGCAATGCGCGTGTCCAGGGCATAGCTGAAAGTACCGCATGGTCCGCTGAAAGTACCGCATGGTCCGCTGAAAGTGCCGCATGGTCCGCTGAAAGTACCGCATGGTCCGCTGAAAGTACCGCATGGTCCGCTGAAAGTGCCGCATGGTCCGCTGAAAGTGCCGCATGGTCCGCTGAAAGTACCGCATGGTCCGCTGAAAGTACCGCATGGTCCGCTGAAAGTGCCGCATGGTCCGCTGAAAGTACCGCATGGTCCGCTGAAAGTACCGCATGGTCCGCTGAAAGTACCGCATGGTCCGCTGAAAGTACCGCATGGTCCGCTGAAAGTGCCGCATGGTCCGCTGAAAGTACCGCATGGTCCGCTGAAAGTACCACATGGTCCGCTGAAAGTGCCGCATGGTCCGCTGAAAGTACCGCATGGTCCGCTGGAAGTACCGCATGGTCTGCTCAAAGTACCGCCACTTGGGCTTAAGAGTCGCCGGATTATACTTGAGCAGAGGGGGAAACTGCAACACCATGCTCCCCGCACCCTCCTCCTTTACCAGCTCTTCGTCGCACTGAACCTGACAGCACCACAGGAAACACATCATAGTGCACTCACTGTGGGAAGGCAACGAGATGGTCGACAGTGAGCCGCATGGTCCGCTGGAAATATTGCCACTTGGGCTTCAGAATAGCCGGATTGTACTTTAGCACAACAGGGAACTGCACCACCATGCTCCCAAAACTACGTTAGCTGATGTACACCGCACTGAAGCGTACTGCACCAGAGTAGAGATACCTTCTGCCCCACTCTCACCGTGCGAAAGCCACTAGATGGTCAACAGTCAACAGCATGGTCTTCTGGAAATATCGCCACTTGGGATTCAGAATAGCCGGATTGTACTTTAGCAAAGGCGGGGACTGCACCACCACAGTGCTTTCCACGTCCTCCACCTCCTCCTCCTCTTCATCTGCCTGTACTTCACTGCACTGAACCGTAGTACAACCCCCATCGGTACTCACCAGGAGAAGGCAACCAGATGGTCCAGAGAGAGCCGCATGGTCCTCTGGAAATAGCGCCACTTGGGCTTCATAGTATCCGGGTTATACTTGAGCAGAGGCAGGGACTGGGAAGTGCACCACCATGGGAAACATTTCATTTACCGCGAATCGTATTGCACCCACCGTGGGAAGGCAACCAGATGGTCGACAATCAACCGCATGGTCCTCTGGAAATACCGCCATTTTGGTTTGAGAATAGCCGGATTGTACTTGAGGAGAGGGGGGGACTGCACCACCATGCTCCCCACATCCTCCGTCACTACCCCCATGGACAGCAGAAAGTGCACTAGCGGACGAAGGCTGTCGTCCAGATGGCACGCCACCAGGTCCGGCCGAGCCACCACGACCTTCCAAACCTCGTGGTTCGGGACTCCGGCTTCGGTAACGAGGAACCGAACCTGAGGAAAGTGGGTTTGAACGAAGCAGGAAGGGGAAAAAACAATTGAGCTTTCTAATGAAGGACCATTCGAGCTTTCCCAAGCTGAGCTGCCAATTGTTGGTATTTGCTTGCAGGTGCATTTGAGTCGACTCAAAAGCTTTCCCGAGCTGAGCTGCCAATTGTTGGTATTTGCTTGCAGGTGCAGAAGCGTTTTGAGGCTCCTCAGAAGTCGGATGCGGAAGCCTTAAGCGATTGGCTTTTGAAAACTTGCGAAGCAAGCTTGGGTGTATGACAGGAGGGGCAGCTAAGCCAGCTAAGCCAATAGGAGGGGCAGGCAAATGTCGCATTCCCTGACAGGACAGGACAGGACAGAACATCTCAGGGGCAGAAGAGACTGAATGTAGATGCAGATGGGTGGAAAGCAGTGCAAACATCCAGCAACCGTCCATTCTTGCATCCCCACATAAGCCCTGTAGGGCTGTGGATTCACCTACTACCTCTTGCTCATCAGTGACCGTATCTTTTTGTCAAGGCTGTAGGTGAGGATGGGTGGAAAGCAGTGCAGCACTCCAGCTACGTCTGCCTCAGGAATCCCAATCAGCCGAAGAAAGCAGACCTGAGAGGAACGAGGAATGGGAGGCACACGGGCAGCACACGGGCGAGGGGGAGGAGCGATGGTAAAAAAAGGAAGGGTGAGAGGGAGCGGTCCAATCCATCTTGGCTCAAGGCTCATCCATACCTTGGGCGACACATCTACCTGAATTGTAAGCAGCATCTTGCACCTTGCAGCACCATCTCGCCGATCTGAGCCTTTGTGAGCCCCACAGCTACCATATGATATGAGCTCATCCCTACCTCTTGCTTAACTCATCCCTACCTCTTCCTTAACTCATCCGTACCTCTTGCTTAACCCATCCATTCCTCTTGCTTAACTCATCCATACCTCTTGCTTAACTCATCCATACCTCTTGCTTAACTCATCCATACATCTTGCTTAACTCATCCATACCTCTTGCTTAACTCATCCATACCTCTTGCTTAACTCATCCATACCTCTTGCTTAACTCATTTATACCTCTTGCTTAACTCATCCATACCTCTTGCTTAACTGATCCAAACCTTGGGCGACACGTCTGCCTGAACAGTGAGCTGCAGCATTTTTTGGTGGCGCACCACCATATCTCCGTTCAGATTTGAACGGCATGCACTCATCCACACCCATCAGTACCCATATGTACCTTGGGAGACACATCTGCCTGCACTGTAAGCTGCAGCACTTTTGGGTGGCGCACCACCATCTCCCCGATCTGAGCGTTGGTGAGCCCCAGCAGGTGCTGATGGTGTCAGCACAGCACCGTACCCTGTAGATGCTGCCAAGTGGTTGGGAGAAGCCAAACCAGGTTGGCAAGTGTAGCCAAGTTGGGTGAGGTGGATGGCATGGGTTGAGAGATGGACAAATGTCAAAGTTGGGATGCCTATAGAGAGGGGAATTGTGTGGTATGGGGTTTCCTTGGTTGGGGACTCCTTGGGGACCTTCTTTCTCGCCTCCTCTTCCCTCCCATCTGTTTTATTGCTACTCCAACTCTCTTGTGTGGATTGTGAGATCTTTGTGATTGAGTTAAGTTTCTATGGCAGCATACCCCCTAGTGCGCCGAAATTCATAACTCGAGTTAGACTCCATCTTTTGATACGATTTAATTTGGGAAAGATAGCCACGGTCAAGGGCTACAACATACTCGAGTTTGAGAAAATTCTAACGGTGCGTTTTTTGTCGACGGCGTTTCTTGTTACGACGACTTTTCTGTCCAGAATTGTAGTTGACGATTTTGAGATATTTCGGCCCCGAAACGTCATAGACTCCGTCCTTAGTCTCTAACACCCCCCTCCCCACCCTTCCTTCCCTGTCCCTACCTCCCTCGCCCCTCCCACAGACTCTTGAGCTTCTGAACCGCTTCAATTCAAAGCTAGCAGCTTCCAAGACAGTGCAGCCTAGAGGAACACGCACAGACGAAGGCAAGGAGGAGGGTGCAGATGAGGGGAGAGCGGACAAGAGAGATAGGGAGAGGGAAGGGAGTAACAAGAAGGAGGGCAGCAGAAAGAGAGGGGTGGTTGGTTCAGAGGGGAAGGGGCCGGGAGCAGCGGCATATGGGCCGGGGGGGAAGGCAAGGCAGGATGTGGAAGGAGACGGAGAGGAGGAGGATGAGGAGGGTGGGGGAGTGGATGGATGGCTCATAGTCTGAAGTTTGAAGTGAAGAGGAACAAGCGGGTGAGTGGTGGGGAATGCAGGGGGGTTATTAGAGGGTGTTGCAGTGCTGGATTACTGGAAAGGGCATGTAAGGTGGTGCAAGGGGGGGTGGATTGGATGGCTCACCGGTTGAAGTTCGAAGTAAAGAGGAACAATGTGGGGGGTGGGTGAGTTTAGGGATTGGGGGGGAGATCAGGAGAGGGCGTTGCAATGCAAGATTAGAAGGACGGGTTCTTCACGGTGCGGCAAAGGGTGGGGGGTGGATTGGATTGGATGGCACACCGCCTGAAGTTCGAAGTGAAGAGGAACAAGCGGGTGAGCTTTCTGGTGTTGGAACTTGGAGGGTGTGAACGTTTTTTTCCCGCTCATATTTGTGACACTTGCGCTCTTCTTGTTGCCACTCCTGCTCTTGCCTGTTACTCGTGCTGTCTCGCTGCTGAATATCTCAACTTCACACTCTTTCTGCTTCTTTGCTCAACATACGTGGTCCATGTTTCCCCTGCTTCACCCCATCCGGACGGGGTGCTTTGCAATGTTGACGCGGATCAGTACGCGGTGCATGACCTACTGCTGGATCACACCACACCTCTACACTCTTTGAGGGTATCCAAAATGCCGACATCATTCCCAAAGAAAATAGTCAAGAATCACATTTCCCACGCATGAGTGGCAGCCGTT